TTAGTTACAAGTTTGTATTTTCCGTAAGTCTTGGATCAGATTGAAAGCATTTGTGGTTAACTCATCCAATATAAGCTTTGTCCTCAAGGCAGCATCTTCAATGGTTGAAGCTGAGCCGGTATTTGAAGAAACAATAACATCGTGATCCTCTCGATTCCCAGGGTTTTTGGCTGTTCTTTGTCCCTGCTGGTTCTGTGGAATAGAAAAAATGAGGACACTGTCAATGGCTGGAATCATAAGTTGGCGGGATTTTACTACAAGCCCACAATTTAGAACAACATAAGAAGAAGGAATCTATATTTCAAATGCCTGTATAGCCACGTAGCCAGAGATTATTTAGCCTTTCATGCAGACTTTCGTAGGGACAAAACCCTAAACTAAGAACGTCATTCAAAATAGTCAAGCAAAGTTTTAGCATATATGCCTACAGAACTTTTACAAAGACAGTTGTTAAAAACAATTCACTCACAAATTTTATAATTGCCACCATTCTTCTCAGACAATTTAACAGTGTCCTGGTCTGTTTTTTTAGCTGCACCAGCTTACTCTTTACGCCTTCAGAAACTTGAAAACTCCTTAGCTGATTTGTAGAATTAACCAGCAGGGCGATAAATGTTCTCAATATACGGCAGTTTGTTTTGAGGATCCGTAAAGGCTGGAAGAAAGGGAAAAATGTCCCATTGTCAGAGATATTATACATGTCAATCAGGGAATGTTTGAATGAACTTGGTCAATACCAACGTGCAATTTTGTGTCATCCTTTTATATGCTACCCCGCATGAAATTTTTTCTTGAAGGAACCCGGAATCCTTGGTTTTGGAATGCGTAATTCACCTCGATGAATCCGGAATCCCGCTGAAGATTGGAATCCGGAATCCCTTAAGTTCCACTAACAGAGAATCCGGAACCCAGTATCTGGAATCCGGAATCCACAGCGTGGAATCCAGAATCCAAGACTGTCTTACCTCACATGGGGCGATAAAGAAGTGTGATCATTAAACGTTTCTGGGAAACTGCCCACCTACCTCTCCCCTAAGCCAACATTAACACTTACTTATCAGTTAGGTCAAAATGTTGCCTTAGGGGAAGGGTAGGAGGGCAGTTTCCCAGAAACGTATAATGATCCATAAGAGCGCCACGGGAATTGTATGGAGTAGGTATCCTTAGGTATAAGATAAGTGTCTGTAATAGAGAGTTGGCATTATGACTTCATTTATAAGAATTTTAGTCAACATCAAGCTGTGTTACGTGAGTCAGAAAGTGCCTAGCAAGCTATTCTTGTTTGGCACTTACTGTAAGATTTTAATAACGCTATTGACTCTATTCAGCAAACCTTATACGCTAACAGTTTTAGAAAGTCTCGGATTGATTCTTACCATTTCTCCAGTTTTATTGTAGTTTTCCACTCGCAGGAAAAAGTCAATACTGCTCTCTTCATCGGGACTTGCAGGCCATTTTATGGACTAAAAATAAAGTAAATTAAGTCATTGGAGCAAAACAAATTAAATGACGCAAGTAGCTCTATTTATTAAGTGACGATTGTAAGTATTTGCTAATCTATTAGTAGATATGCACTAAATGAATAAGGGGAAGATCGTGGCAGGGATTTGAGTGGGAACTACGTCAATAATTGGTGGTGACTGTCTTGGCTGCACATCAACATATAGGGTTTACATCTTAAAAATGCTAGAACTAAGGATCGCCCAATGCTTCTTCTATTAGTTTGGAAAATAGGTATATCCACGTTTAAATTTTTACTCCAATATAGAGAAAAGTTACTACTTTTCCTACTCATAATACAGTTCAAAGAAAGTCATTTTGTCTCCTGTGTCGAAACTACTTGGAGGTCTGATGGAGGGGAAGTTTACTTACCATTTCCTTGCTAAGAACAGTGCTTTGTCGTGCCATCTCTGTGGATAACATTAAAGCATCCTTGAGCAGTGTCCGAACTTTCCTGTCCGTCTGACAAAAACGTTCAGTGGGAAAAGCATTCCTCACCAATAGAATGGTGTAGGCCAGGGTACTTTGAACTAATATTCCTGTGAAAACAAAAAACATTTTAACTCTTATACACGATCAGGATCGACATAAGGAGGCTTATGAATCATCTGTTTCTCTTCCCACCCAAACAGTAAAAAAACCGTAGCAATAGATCCATAGTTCAGGGAATTCCTAGTTAGTCACTGGCAGATTAAAATGTCAGTAAAAGGTCTCCAAAATCTTTTCATGTAACAACAACTACACTTTGAGTTTTACAATTTAAAGTAGGCAAGTTGTCAATAGGATTTCATTGCAAACCTGAAACAGCGACATTTAGACTTAAAAACAGCTTTTACCTTTAAAAAAGACCTTACCTTTCATACTTTAGCAGTTCAACGTAGAGCCTTGAAACGTTTTCAAAACAATATTTAATCCACGCTGGTGTGTTTCCACAACAAATATAGACAGAAATCGGGTTTTATGTTCTTTTCTAAGGAGTCGAATTGAGTCATTTTCTTATTTAATGATATTTTTAAGGGGAATTACGTACCGTCCCAAACGTTCCATCAAGTTCCCGTGAAAGTAGCAGGTGGATGGATGAGTACTTCCGGTTTACAGTATTTCTCGTTTTTGGATCATTTCAGACACCAACCTTGGCAAGAACAGGGATGATACTAAAGAAATTAAACGTAAAATAAAGATACTGTAGGGAAATGAAAAGAAAAAGAATAGGTATTACTCTGGTTAACTGGGAAGTACGCAATAGTAAAAAAACATGTCAATAATTTTTTCTTAGATGTGCTAGGCAACTAATGATCACAGAGAAGTTATACACATCGATAGTAGGCGTTCGATTTTGCCGTCGATCTTTATAAATCGGTAATTCACATTGCGCACATTACTTTCAACATTTTCAGTTACAACAATTATCATGTTTCTAATTTCCTGAGAAAGGCCTAAAACATCCTTATGTTGCTGATCATGATATCTTTTTTTTCCGTGAATTTCTTAGGTTAACGCCGGAAAACTTTCATGGCATATAGCGTATGTATAACTCATGACACAATATATCCTCTATTGATTGTAAACTTAGCTAATTTTTACTAACGGTTCAGTGTCTAGGTAACGGTCAGAGAAAGCTATCGACATTATATAAACGAAGAATAACCACCAGGATTCAAACTTACAGAATCAATAAGCAAAGATAAGTATGAAAGCAGGGTTCGAATCTTGGTCAAGCCCGAGTTTTTTCAGGTTCTTTTCCAACAGCTAAGGTTGTTCATTCTTACGAAGATCATGTTCACTTTCATATCTTTTTCCACAGTTCAAAATATGATTCATTTCATATCAATTCAAAGATGAAATCCTTTCTCTCCTTTTATATTTAGTGTTTTAAAAAAATATTTATTAAATGTAAATAACTTATTCAGGGACAATTTTTCCAAGAAATGAAAGCCACCTGCCTTCAGGAGCGTTAGTATTGGATGGAACGAAATTAAGCATTTCAAACATTGGAAGTATTAGATTCTGAGAAAACAGTAAGTGTGTGTATTCCAGAGATAAAGGAAGGATTTTCTTAACAAAGTGTAATATTAAATTCAACTACCAGCAAGATGCCTCTCGGAGAAATTGATACGTTAGAGTTCGTTGTTTTCGTAATGGTGTTCTAACGACGGCTATACATGCTGCTCCTAAAACCGAGTGAAGGACACTGGAGTTTAACAAAGCTTTTCTTCAGTTAATATTGAAGAAGAAACATATATGGTTTCGAAGGATTCATTTTTTAAGTAAGGATTATTTTAACCCCTCTTGTTGATCAAAGAAGGATGGGCTGTCTCAGGCAAGAACAAATTCCCTTGGGGATTTTCACTGGGCAAGACTTTCGTGAAATAGAGCGGAAGGCACTAAGGTTTGTTATTAATAGAACATTGGGGGAAAATATTTTATCCTCAAACTATTGCGGGTAAACTTCTCTGAGATTTGCCGGTATTTGAGTATTTGCTATATTGGGAAAGCTCCCCAAAAGAAGGTATTCCAGTTATTAGAATCAGATTCAGGTTTAGACTAGGAAATAGATACTGTCGCTTACAAAAGGTGAACTGCTTTGTCCTTAATGGCTTATTAAAGAAACTCTAATCCCGGCCCTCAATTTTTAGTGTTGATTAGTTTAACACCACAAATTCAAATATTGCAGCTGAGCAATAAAAAAACTATGTATATGAACCTTCTTTTATGCAATTTACAGATTAATAACCCGATTCCTTTCATGTTTGATTTTGGCATATATTTTTCTTGATTTCATTTTGACATAAGCATCATTTGGCGTACGTAAATCGGTCATGTTGTTCCTAATGTAACTCGAATTGTAGGGTACGTATTATAATTCCATTTTACGCACGTTAACACTTGCTGAAATTACGCGACGGTGGAAATCCACCCTAGGAGCGAAAAATTTGTTGAGCGTAATATCACAAAAGTTGTTGATATCATCACAGTTTAAATCTACTTTTCAGCTATGAATGACGTCCCAGGTCTCCCAAAACAGTAACAAATCTCATAATATTCACTTCATATTTAAGAGCCCATTAAACTATTTTAAATAAAGGACTAATTCAGTCAAAATACCATGGAAACACATGGAAGAGGGATTTTCTGGTTATTCTCTTTTCCCATGTATCATGATGAACTTGCTTCTATTAACGTGGGTGAATTGAGCCCGAATTACCAGGCTGTAGCATTATGAAGGCTTTGTAGTTAACTCACTTATAAAGAAGACATGTAACGTTCATACTTTAAGCCAAATTATGGAAGTATGTCTAATAAAGTTGGTTTAAGATCTTAAAATTGTGTCTTGCCTTTCTAACACAAAATAGAAATGTTGAATCCATTGCGATAGGAAGAAACGAGACCGAAACGTGTTCGGCATCCATAAATATATTTTGGGGAACTTTTCCAAGAAATGTATTTCACCTACCTCGGATCATGATAATGCTTGTATTAAAAGGTGGAGAATCTCTCCGTAGTTTTGTCAAGCGAGTATTTAATGGTGCAAGATATTGGTTCAGAAGTTAAGTTCACCAATCTGTCAAATCTTTTAGTCCTTGTAAACTTAATATAAATTGTTTATATAGGGGGAATTTCGAACTCCCTTGCTTTCATGAAATTGTACGATCGGACCACAGCATTGCTGCTATATCATGTTCAACGTGTATAGTCAGGCGGCGTAGCTCAGTACAAAAAGGTCGAATCTTCTCCTTCCCATCTTTCCACGCGCACTTTCATTTTCCCCTCTCTCCAGCCTTCCTACGATGCAAAGAGGCCTCTGCGGAAGACAGAGGCCCTTCCTTACAAGGCACATGCATATTTAACTCATCATACGTTCTGAGACGCGGGGTAATGTGGACGTGGAAAACTGTCGTACCTCTAGAAAATTCCTAGCTCCACCCTGGATAGTCAAAATGAATGATAAATGAATTAGTTATTCACAACTGACCGGCTTATAGGTAAGTGTGAAAGGAAACTTGAGAATCCTGATTTGAGTCGATGGCCAAAGTATCGATGAACCAAACTCAAAGGGCTGGACTTTCATAATTTTTCTATTTTAAAAGAGCTCATTATTCTAAGGTTACAAAATTACAACATTTTAATTTTCCAGTTTACGTGTTGTTTAATTTGATTTGAATAAAATAAGGTTAAGTGCTAAACTTTAAGTTGCATTTCACAGGTTGTTTTCTGTGTTTTTAATCATGTCTGCTATTTTACTCTAACAAACTGAATAATAAAATTTCAACCTTTGTCCAGCTTTTAAATCGCACACTTAATATTAAAACCATTATAGTCGCAATATAGCTTTTTCAAAAGCAAAAATAAAAACATATGCACCATAAATAAAAGCACTTTCATCAACGTATCTAGAGACCAGCTATATTAATTCCTACACTTTTCATTACTAGTATGCCAAGGTTAGCTTCCAGAATTATTTGATAATCATTCTATGGTATTTTTTGGAGTCTGTGAAAACTGAAAATCCCTGCCAGTCTTTTCGTTAAAGTCAGGTAACTTATGTTAGCAAATAAAATCCGTTTTCTTCCTCTTCTCGTTCTATTTTCAATGGTCAACCATTACAATAAGGCATTTTCACGATGACGTAACTTTACTACAGCTCTTAGAACGCTGGACATGATTTTGGTTTCTTTTAAAAATGTCTGCTTTCGTTGTTTTAATCTCAGGGGGATTAGTGTATTTCGTTCAATTGGAAAAGTTAAAAGGAAGTTAGTAATTATAGAAGGTGTCCGGAGAGTTTCACGTGAAGTCACAGCGGCCACATGTTATGTAAACAATTAAACGCACTATTTAAGAGATACCATGACGAAAATGACCTATTGAAAAGTTTCAATTTTATGCAGTTCGGTATTGCTACGAGTTATCATCAGTTTCTCCAATCATTATCAGAGAAATTGAAAGTAGATCCTAAGAAGTTTTGGTCCTCCCATGCTATTAAATAAAAAACAAAGAGGCTGCCTACAGTTGTCACCTATAAAGATAGATCTGCTTCTGAATCTGCCGACAAGGCTGCTTTGTTTAATTAATTTTGTAGTACTGTTTATAGTTCAGATAACGTAAATTATGAAGATCTCCAAGTTGATGTCTTGTACCCTGATCTTCTTTTTAAAATTTCCACCACTCAGAGTGAGGTTGAGAACATCTTAGTTAATCTGGACGCTAAGAAGACAACTGGTGTCGATGGTATCCCTGCAAGAATTTGAAATCATGTGCCCAGGAGTTTTCGATGCCCCTGACTAAGCTGTTCAACCTGTCGTTTAGTTTAGGTGAAGTCTCCTTGACTTGGAAAAGAGCTAATGTTACACCACTTTTTAAAGACAATGCCAAGGAGAATGTTGAAAACTATAGATCTATCTTCTTGCTATCGATCTTGGGTAAATTTCAGGAAAGAATTATCCATTGTGCCATCTACTCTCATGTTTCACCTTTTCTTACTGATTGGCAGCATGGCTTTGTGAAAGGGCGTTCCTGTAAAACTCAGCTGGTTCTCGCTCACCCTATGTGGAGCAAACGCTGGATTCCGGTCTCCAGGTTGATGCCGTGTTTTTGGACTTGGCTAAGGCGTTCGATCGCGTGAACCATAAGGTACTACTGCATAAATTGTGTAACTTTGGAATATCAGGGTCGCTGCTAGCCTGGTGTGGTGACTATTTATCGAATTGTAAGCAAAGAGCAGTGGTTGATGGCAAATGTTCTAGCTGGCCGGATACCACATCTGGCGGGCCGCAGGGGTCCATTTTGGGTCCCCTGTTTTTTGTTATTTTCATCAGTGATCCGCCTAAGGCGGTTAGTCAATAAACTTCTGCGGCACTATATGCAGATGACTATAAGGGGTTTAGGGTGGTAAACTGTCCAAATGATCTAATGATGTTTCAAGATGATCTAGATAGTTTGTGCACTTGGAGTCAACAGAACAGGATGACCTTCAATGTTAAGAAATCCAAGTTGATGCGCATTACCCAGAAGAAACAACCATTCAGATCTAGCTGCACCCTAAACGGATCTGTCATACAAGAAGTTTATGAGTTGTGCGAGCTCGGTTTGCTTACAAACCATCATCTTTCTTGGAACTCTCATGTTGATGCCATTACAAATAAAGCTAATGGATTTTAGGCCTGCTTAGAAGATCTTGTAGAGGTTGGAAGGATACCGAAACCCTGAAAGTGCTGTACTGCACGTTGGTGAGATCGCAAGTTGAATATGGATCAGTTGTGTGGTCGCCATACACCGCAAGAAACATTGACAAGCTTGAGTGCATACAGCGGAGGGGAACAACATTTATTCTCGCAAAAGGAATTTTACCTATGACGAGCGCCTAAAATGTCTTAATTTCCTGTCGCTTGAAAGGACACGCTATCTTTTTTATGTCACATTTTTGTATAAGGCTTTGAATGGATACTCGAAAGTGGATGTATCTCCGTTTCTGAACATTTATTCTTGGGATGATCCGTACAGGTTTAGACATGTTGATGACTATTCCTTGACGACGAATTTTGCTAGAACGACTAACTTTAAATACACTCATTTTAATAGAATTGCTGAAATGTGGAATTCGATACCCTTAGATATTAGATTATCTCCCAGTCTTGCAGTTTGTAAGTCAGGAATGAAGACAGTTTTTAATGTTTTTATATTTGATTTAATATTTTTCTGATTGTTATTATATATTTATTTATTTAGATTAGCTTCATGGTGATCTGTCTCGCATGGAGTGTTCCACTCTTTTACAGATTATCCTTATGGCTTTGTTAGTGTGTACATTTATATTTATCTGCCATTAAATTGTAATAAATAAAAAATAAATAAATAAGTCATCTTAAATTTTAGAGCAATCAACCCTTCGCATCTTGTTAAAGTCGACATCCATTTGAAGAAGGCTTGTGTACAAGTCATTAAGAATAACCGAAACACGAAGTGCCACGCGGTGAATTGTGGGTGTACCGATGGTAGCATTTAAGGATCGAGTAGAGTTATGAACGGTGACCTGGGAAGTGCGCATGGGCATACCTAGTGGGAGCTGATTTCCGCTGGTTACAGTTACAGTTGAAACATTTGTTGTTGTCTTTGTTTCCTGCAATTGTAATAATGATAGTTTATATGTCAGTGGAACGGATAACGTAATTTTTATTTCAACATTAAGTCTTTGATGAAACTAATGGAAAGTAACATAATGGAGACCCCAAATAAAGGCAATAATTTATAATATTGTCTTATTCGCAATGAGACGGTACATTCTTGTCATGAGACACTTAATTCATATGCGTTTGGTATTTCTTTCATCTAACTTTAAAGTGCAACTGAGATTGTGTTTTCAGAAAATTTTCAGCATTTATCCTTTAGACAAAGGCAATTGGCAACAGAGGGTCTTTGCAGTATAAGCATCGTAGTAGAACCCTCGAACAAACAAGATACGTTATTTATCTGGCTGAGACATTTCCTTTTTTCAAACGATTCATGCCGAGGTGAGACTCACTTGTAATAGCGGGGCGCAAAATTTAACTCGATATTTTTATACTGTACACTAAATTGATGTAAGAAAACATTAAAAAATGATTTTCAATCATACACTTCAACTACTACTTTAGTAATTAACATTTTATTTGTCCAGCTTACAATATTAAATATTGCTTGTAGTCTACGCAAAAGAGCGATCATCGACTGCAGCTCATTCTCCAGGTTCCTCAAATGCTGTGCGGCTGTTGAACCATTGGCAAATCTTTGAAAATCAGCTGCAGAGGCTTTAATCAAGGGCAAGAAGCTGCTTAGTATGCTCTGATCAGAAAGAAGGAGGCCTTGAGTCTGAAAATAAATCAATAAACGGGTTAGTTGAGTGAGAAACAGAGCGCACTTACGGTGCTCGGTTTACGGTAAAAAATTTATCATTACAGTCATTGAGCGAAATAACCAAAGGGTTGATTGATGGTATTCTTAATAAATAACACTGAACGTTTTTTTTTTTGTGGTTAATTATTAAACCGAACGTTACTGAATTACTAGGATTATGATAAAACCGTGTGATGCAAGATACCTTCGTTAATCCAGTGCTGTTAAGTGGCCTGGCAATAACGGAAAAGGGGAAGGCAGCAATTCTCCATTGATCATCCGGTGTTAGCCACTTGCTAGACTGTAAAATAAACATATGAATAACTTTGATATTGTACTTTAAATTGTTATCATCGTTATGGATACAGATCGCGGTCATGACTGATACATTAATTATCATAAAAATTGTTTTACGGTAATGGTAATAGTCAACTATCAAGAAAAGGTGGATAGATGTATGGATGGATGGAACGATGGACAAATGGATGATCAATAATTAACCACTCTGATTGGATGGCAGAAGACGCGTGGATGAATGGGTCAACTCACTATATTATTGTAAGAGCTGTAAACATTTCCTCCAAGTCTCAAAGACAATGGTAGTAAATGCCATATCAAGTCTCGTACGGTTTTGTCGAGTTTGCAATAAGGCGATGATTTGCCTGCAGGTGAACAATTTGCGACGAATAATACCACAGTCAGCAAAATCCCAACCTTTTTTAGAATTCCTAAAAGAAAAAACAAATTATATAAGCCATGAAAATAACGCTACGATAATTCATAGTTTCATGAAATTGCATAGAGATGCGTACAAATTATTAGAAGCAACAATTAACTCTTTTTTCATTTCATTATCTTACAATAACTGGACTCCCTTACAATCTATTAGCTCTTAACGTATTGTGTTTGCTTGTATGTTTTTTAAGAAATAATTCTTTCCCTCTGTATCCCTGACGAAACCTTCGCCCAAGACAAATAGTCTCTCTCTTTTACTTTACCCTGATGCCCTATCAACACCAAAGCCTCAACATGTTTAAAAGATGTTTATTGTTAAACCAGTTTTAAATTGTTTCTCTCTTAATAGCTGCTTTCTGACTTAAAGTTACTGCAAACTTATAGAAAATTACAAAACAAGTTAAAGCTTATTTGAATTCCCTGTTTTCAGTTTTCTAGCCCTGTATTTTGTTTTTGACTTTTCAAAACGTGGTTCAATGAAAAATGATGTTTATTTGGTATGAATGGAGCGTGAGAAACCAACTTTTATTCAAAAATCTCTACCTTCTGGCTGATGTTGGCCGGCTACGTGCTGGGCAATTCCACTTATAATAGAAAATGACGTTCAAAAAATGTGAATGACAGTGTTATTGATGTTAACGTTACGTTTTTCCAAAGATATAACAGACTTTACAATAAAGAAAATCACATTCTAATAGTGTTATTGAAGATGCAAATATTTCTACGCGAATATTTTCTTACTAAGATGTTGTTGAATTCCTGTAAAATAAAATGACTTTCTCTTTTCTGTTAATGAAGAGTAAAAGGTATCTTATAATTCTTCGAAAAATAAATGGCAACTGAATCTGCCACCTTCTCAGTTCCTTACCTGACATTTTATATCTAAGTCTTCCAGGTTAGGTAACTTCAATTTCTCACTACTGTTTCAGTTACTTAAGTGTTCGTGAACTGAGCGTGTTGACGCGTTTTATGCTTTAGCAATAAGTCGTCATTCTTTAAAAAGGGCAGCAAAAAGGACAGGTTATTTTTTAATCACCCAAAAAAAATCGGATTCCTGTTCTTGTGGGCAAAAGGTTAACGTTGTTCCTGCGGTGTTTCAGGATTACACATCCCCGAGGATGATGACATAACATAAATATTTCCTGACTTTGCGTGCTGCGGTAGCAAGAAATATTGACATATGTACATAGCAAATAACTACAATTTTTTCCACGATATCGATGCTAGAAGTCAACCATTCTTAATAGGAGGGCGAAATAATGTTACCAAATCTAAAAAAAATCAGGGTGGGTTATTTTCTTTTCTGTTTTCAACCTTTAAATCAAGCATCAACCTTTCTGTTCTTTTCTTGAAAAGGCGGGAAACCCAATAAGCAAACTAAGGCCTACGTCATAGCCATAAAGGACAACTTACACTGTACTTTTTAATTAGAACTTCAGATTATCAATGTAAATTCATGCACAGATTATAAAACAGATTATATTGATAAGGAACCATCATCAATCAGTAGGGTAAAGTGCAAAACGTTCCTAATATTACTATTGTTTTAATCTCTTTTTATTGTGGCATCAAGAGAAAAAAAGTAACATTTTGAAAAGAGTTTTTCAACAAATTTGGGTCACGTTAGGAATTTTACTGCGGTCGAACGCTAAGTTTTTTTTCCAGTGAATGTTGAATGTCATAAAATGATTTATTTGCAGTTTTTTTTTCTTTGTTTGATAGCATGATAATCTTTTGTTCCCTTATATCGAGTAATTGGACGAAACAAGTGAGTGTCTGTAAAACGAGGTCCCCGATACCTGTGCAGGGCGGATGCGACTGGGAAGATGCAGACAGAAAAAAATGCCGACAATAAGAAGAACAAAAACCTATAATTTCGATATATAAATTGTATCACTAAAGCATGTTTTTTTTTTTTTCTCTAATGGTTCTGCTATATTGAAAAAAACGCATTTTAGACCAAATCCTTCTTTTTTAACAGTTTTTCGGCCAGTCAGCATGGGAATAGCTAGAAAAGAGATTTCTAACGCTCAGGACTTCAATTTCTGCTAATTGGATGTAATTAATAAAGCAGCTTTTTTGGTTTTTCGGGCATGCGCCTAAGCCAAAATTTTGCCGGACTTGTTTTGCGAATCTATTTCGATTTTGTTTTCTCGCTCTCCTTTCTTTTCCCGTTTGCATTTCTTTTTATATACAGTTTTGTTGCCCACTTTGTCATCTTTTATTGCATGAAATTTTGGCTGGCTTTCTTTCCAACAAAGGAAGAAATTTAATCTGTAAAAAATAGTAGGTAAATAGAAAAAAATGGCAGTGCATATTTTCCCCGGATGTTGCTTGTCTTTTTGTCTTTTAACTATATATAACTTTTATTTTAAGAGGGTGGCACCAATTACTATGAAAAGTATTCTCCCTAGTGGCCCTCCGTGAGGGTTTTTTCATTACCTTCACGAAGATGAGTTTTTTTGTGAGGCGTGTTAATAAATTAATAAATTGATGTGATGATTTATTTATTTATTTATTTATTTATTTCAATTAGTAAGCTCAGATGATGAAAATCCGTTTACTTTAGGCCCCTCATTTGTTATGGTGTTGCACAGGATTTTAGGTAACCTGTGCACAGCCGCCTTCTCTCCTGGCTATGTTCACTTTCATATCTTTTTCCCGCAGTTCAAAAAAATAATGGTTCATTTCATATATTATCAATTCAAAGATGAAAGATTTTCTCTCCTTTTGTATTTAGCGTTGAAAACAAATACTTACCATTTACAAATAATTTATGCAGAGACAATTTTCCAAGAAACGAAAGCCACCTGCCTCCAGGGGCGTTAGTATTGGATGACACAGAATTAAGTATTTTGAACATTAGCAAGTATTAGATTCTGAGAAAACAGTAAGTGTGTGTATTCCAGTGATACAGCAAGGATATTCTTGACGAAGGGTAATATTCAACTTGTAGCAAGATGCCGTTCGGGGACTTGATACGCTGTTTCGTAATGGTATTGTAACGACGGATACACATGCTGTTCCTAAAATAGTTAATATTGAAGAAGAAACAAATATGGTTTCGAATGATACTTCTTGTTGATCAAAGAAAGATGGGCTTTTCCAGGCAAGAACAAATTCCCTAGGGGATTTTCGCTGAGCAATACTTTCGTAACAAATGGAGAGGAAGCAACTAACTAAAGGTTTGTTATTAATAGAACTTTTGGGAAAATATTTGCGAGTATTTGAGTATTAAAGCTCTTTAAAAGGGGTATTTTTTATTATTAGAATCAGATTCAGATTTAGACTAGGGAATAAATACTTCCGTTCACAAAAGGTGAACTGCTTTGCCCTTGATGGCTAATTTAGCGTTTTTTACAGTGTTGATTATTTTAACACCACAAATTCAAATATTGCAGCTGAGCAAAGAAAAAAACTCGGTAAATGTACCTTCCTTCATGCAATTTACAAATTAACGACTTGACTCTTTTTTTTTGTTTCTATTTAGGCATATATTTTTCTTAATTTCACTTTGACATAATCATCGTTGGCATACGTACATCGGTCATATCGTTCCTAACGTAGTTCGAATTGTTCCTCATGTAGCCACAATGCTCCGTGTGTACCTTCGTTCCAGCATTTTTTGAAAAACTATTTTTCAATTAATGAAGTATAGCGCTCTGAAAAGGATCAGATGTAGACTTTCTCAAAAATTGAAGGATTTGTTATTTCCACATCGTCCCCCAATACACCAGTTTTACGTTACAAACTTTGCATAAGAACGTTTTTTCCATTTTTCTTGGAACTTATCTTTGGGGTCTAAATGGAGACTTCAAGGAGACGAAGTGAAAAATTACGGTGATAAGCGTTATGAAGTAATTTTCGCGCTCCCTATGGTTGAATTTCCACTGTCGCGTAATTTTACCTGCCTAAATGAAATATAAATATAGACAAGGTATAAAATGTTTGCCTTAAACATAAAGTTGGGCGGGATTTAACTTTTACTTTCAGGCTTGATCTTTGATACATTGCCTGTGGCAATTGCAAACGCAAATTTTACGCAGATATACGCTTGCTAAAATTAATTTTCACTTGCGTATCCATGTAAAGTTATGCGCGTAAATAAAATAGAGAACGTATGGAAACTCGCGCGTAAACTTAAAAGTTGAACTACGCTCGACTATTACGTTTACGCACGGCGTTTTATACATCACCTCTATTTTATGAAAGCGTGTAAAATTTACTCGCGT